TAAGTTATCACGACTAGTCTAAATATAGTAAATGCAAAGAAAACACCAACGATTGTTTTCTCAATCATTGCCAAAGTATGAGCTGAATACATGTTTTGACGAGATGTTCCAAATAAAAGTGACTCATTCTTCCGTTGTTTTTGTGTATGCTGTTAATTTTAGCGTGAATTGACGTCACGTTTGTACTGAATAATTCGTTAAAATAAGATATATATAGCCAAACGACAAACTTTGTTCATACGACGACAAACTTCTACTACTACAGGCACTGGAAGCTGCAAACCTGTTGCACGCCCAGCGGATGAACTTACTACAGGAGCAAAGAAGAGAGAGAAACCTACCCGAGTTGTCGACTGGTGAAGAACGCCCACCAACAATGGTACACCAGGAAGACAATAACAACGACACTTTTAATCCGGGTGCATCTAGAAAGGTACACCTACTACTCGATGGTATTTTCACAAAATTTCCATGTTAAAAGACAATTGTTAAAAGGCGGCGGTCGTCGCGCAGCACGTGTTCGAATTTCATGTAAACAAACAATGTATTTCACACGCGTTGTGTATGTCGCTATGAGCCCCATATTGAACAGAACACGACGCGATGACCACTGCCCTTTAAAATAAAAAATTATTGATAGAAGTATTGATTCATTATGTTCATAATTGTTTTCAGACAATATTAGATGACACCGTGTCCGTGTTATCAAGGCTAAATGCGGGTGTATGGAGTCGCGTATACTTCGGCGAGAAACACAGAGTTCTAGACGCATTCAGCGTAGCCTCCGAGAATCTCGTAGTAGACGGATCAGTGAAACAACAACGTGGAAGGTATTATTATTTCTTATTTTTTCTATTCAACGTTTGTTAGTTTTGTATACGTTTGTTGGTTGTTGTTTATCATTGTTGTAATCACTCAAATTCAATTTTGCTATTTTAGCAAGGTATTCTAAATTTCGGGATTCTGTTGGGTATGAACTGTAAAAATACAAATCCCATATCATACTTATACGAATAGGTTTTGACGAGAGCATATCACTCACTATATAAGCTCTATGATATATCGCGTTACTTTGTGTGGTTACTATAGGATTGGTTTCGGCAGCATAAACAACCCCCGCCGTGACACGGAAACGACACGAATTCGTTCCTTCATTGGTAAAGGAGTGCGGTTTGAAATGGACTCAGATGGCCATATATGGGCTTTACGACTGACGAAAAATCACGTGTATGTTAATGGTTGGCGCCAACCGCAGTCTCATTGCGTTACAGCAGAGGTAATCAAACGAGGCGGACGGCTACCATATGGAGAGCCTATCAAGGTAACATTGGGGTGCAATACGGGAGTCAGATGGATGAAAAAGTTAGGGATTGACAGTCTGCAGGGACGGGAGTTAGGTTGTGCAGATTATTTTTTTTACCGACTATCAGAAATTGCAGACCTCTCTTGATTTTGAGTTTGATGTAAACCGAGAAACAGCTTTAATAACAAAATCGGCTTACTTGAAACTTGTTTACAACTGTATAATATAATAAGATTACACTGATAATGCGTTTTGTTTGTTGAATACCAAGTTATGTGCACTGTTTTACTACAATGGAAATAACAAACTCACTTGAACTTGTTCAAATAAATTGGGATGGGGAGGGTCCCTGATATTTTCTTCAAGGTAAAGCTACGCATATGTCAGAAAATTTATAAAATGTTTAAATTAACGATAGTTAATACTATTTCCATAGAAATGGGGGGATCAATTAATTGTTTCCTGTTTACCGTTGATACATCGTCATGCATGCCTCTATATAGCATATCGTCATCAAATGTTTACCGTTCACGCTGCAGGTGTTCGACATGGATGAATTCAAGATTCGCCTAGCTATGGAACAACAAACTGAGCCAGATCTGATGTCGATACAGAATTTCTGTGTTCTGTTTCTCAGTTTTATCAAAACAGATGAAGTTATTGAGAAGACGCCATGTTGGATAGCATTGACAGTGCTTCCCGCATTGAATCGCAAACTCAGCGACCCTGAAGGTGGGCTTCTTGAAAACATGTTATATTATACTGCAATGTCGGAGTTACGCTCTTATAAAATGTCAACCCAATATTGAACCATCTAATATTTGAAATACTCCTCGTGCCCCGATTGCCATAGAAATGGATGTTTTGGATCTGGCAATTATTTATCTTTATTTATTTATGATTTCACAATTCAAACTGAAACAAAAGATTACTATTGGCCGACTGAACGTTTTCAAATGAAGTTGTCGTGCGCAATGTGCTTGTTGATTGGCTGGTTAGATTAAACTGCCATTAACATTTACAAATAGTTATACAGATAAAGGGAATGTCTTAATTGCGCTGAGAGCACATCCTGCAACACTTTCTTCTAATCGTACTGAATTGATTATGTGACTAAAATTGACACGAGTGACGCTGTGAGCACCTTGATATAGTACTGATATGTGATCATCCATGAGATTGTGCTATATTCTAAACGATGAACATCAAATGGATTTAAAACCAAACTTTCTATTTGAATAATGTTTGCTTAAAGCGGGAGGGTCGTCATCTGCACATACACGGGAATTGAGTCCCAAGCGATGATAACAACACACGCTAAAACGCAAAGTCTCGTGGGTAGACGCTTACTCGTAAACAATCACACGCTATGGCCATCTGACGCATGCAGGTGACAACTCCCCACTTTAAATCTATGTACATCATTTTGTTGTCATAGAAACAGAAAGATTTTGTTGTTTGATTTTTATTTTATTACATTTAATATTCCAGTGTTGGAAGAAATTGAAGAGATTCGAGCAGAGTACAGAACAGCCAAAGAAATACAAGAGGAAGCTCTAAGAATTACCAAGGTAACTATTGTTATATGTGTTATTTATAAAAAAAAAATCATCAATAATGTTATTTTAAAAATAATTCGTTACTTCTGTATTCACAGAAAAGACAATGGGCCAAACTGAATCTTCGGTCTTCAAACTTTGAGAAAGAAAAGAAGAAAGAGGGCAGAAAAGCAAATTTGGAAGCACGACAAAAGGCTATTTCAGAGGGGTTGCCATGGAGATTCAGCTGGGAGAAAGAAGAAGAAAGTGGTTAGTTGTGAATTTTAATTTGTTATTGATTTGTCATCAGAGGGTCAGTGTTTGTTTGTGACGCATCATAAATTTCTTCAATGGGTGATCCGCTAGGACATTTAAAATTGGCAGACTGCTCCGCTAGAATTGCCCTTAAAATCACTTGTGTGTGTGTGTGTCAGTGCGTGATTGAAGCGAGCGGGTCGTCACCTGTGCACGCACAGGAATTGAGTCCCATGATACCGGGGTAACACACGCTAAGAACGCAAAGGCTCATGGGTAGACGCTTGTTTGTAAACAATGAAGCGCTATGGCCACCTGACGCATGCGTAGGTGATGACTCCCTACCTTTAATTCTTCTGTGATTTTTCTCAAGCTTTCACTCTATTTAGTACCCGGGTAGGTAAAATCTAGAAAAAAGTTTTGGCCCCACCGTTTTCATAGCTACAGCCAAAAAAAACTGATTTTTGAATAATTTGCCCCAAATATATTACCTCCTCCCAGTTTTGTAATAGCAGTGTTCAAATGAGAGATGCTGAATTGTTCGTGTTACGGACATCGAGTTAAGAAAACATCAAGTTACAAAAATGACCATGGCATATATTTTCTGAAATATGCCCAAATTGTGACTCAAACTTTAAATAACAAAGAAAAAAAATCTATGTCGCCCGTAACTCGAAGCTCTGTTAACTGTTAATCGAACATTGATTTACAATTCGTACGTTGTGCAAAAGTGGGTGTTTTTTTGTAACTCGATGTCCACAACTCAAAAATTTCAGTATCTCTTCAGATGATCATGCTTTTTATTTTGGCTAAATTGCGCACCGACAAGAGATCGCCAGAGCCGACAATTTTACACTGTATTAGCATGCTCACAACGCAACTTTGAACTTTGAATGAACTGTAAATGCTGCTTTCAATCACAGAATCTAGAAAATACAACTGCAAAACGGTCAGAAATAAAAATTAATATAATTAGTAATAAAGTGAAAAGACTTCTGAAGACTGAATGCTTTTTTGAAAACTTCGTATACGGGGCCTGGTTTTAAATATAAACCGACGTTAGCTTTACGTTCATGTCCTACCATGGCAACAGCCGAAAACATGTTGTTTGTTTTTTGAGTGAAGCTTGTATTATTATTTTGCAGGTTGATCAGTCATTAGTTGTAATCAGTAAAATTATATCTGTTAATTTCAGGGAGTGATGCAAGTGACGAGCAGTCAGAGTCAAATAGCAGTGCGATGGAGTCAACGTTATATGCCAGTGAAAGTTCTGAACAAGAATTACGACCCTCTAACATACGGAGAGCTGCAATGAATAAACTAAGTGAAAAAAATCCTGGTAAATACATTCAAGTTTTCGTTGCTGTATACATGCACGATATACCGTGAACAATTAAATTGTGTGATATAATGTAAACAATTAATTTATTTATTCCCCTTTTTTTAGGTTTGGTCACACGACGGAATTCTCAGTTCGCTCGGCTGTTGCTAAACGAAACTAAGGAGGTTTACTATACGTCAGACCACAGTGGGCAGAAAATAGAGAAAAAACGTCAATGGGCTAAAGTCAGTGAATTAAGAAAAAGACAAGATGAGACCGATTTTTCGAAGTGAACAGGACTGGTATTTTGGGGAATCCTTGCCTTTTAGTGTTTTCTACATTCATGAATATGCATATCTGATTTTGGCAGTGCTGATTGACAACTGGCTGTACTGAAGTACTAGTACTTAAAATCTGTATTAGAAACTGTGACTTCTATTGAAATGGTACAATGCAACAGAGGAGATGTGGCTTCTATTAGAGCACCTACACATATGAGAAATGATGAATTATGGTTCTTAGTTATTCAAAAAGAATGGGTGTGACTTCTATCAAGAATGCGGCTCATACAGTTTTTATGTTAACATGTGTATAT